GGCGTCCGATGAGTTCCTCCTGCTGTATGCGCTGTCCCGCGCGCATCAACCATGCAGCTGTTGAGTTGGATTTCATATATGGTGCCGTGGCTACATCCCCACCAACCGGCCTCGGCAAACGCAACGAGCCGGCAGCTTCTCCGCCGTACAGCATACAGCTCGTCCCGTTGGCCTGTCTATCTCGTGAGCCTTGGCCCAATCTCTTTGTCAGTCGTAGTCCGGGAACGCCAAATCCATCTCCCGCTGAGAGGCGGCTTGATGAGTCCTCAAGTGCCTGACACTCACAAACGAGGCGAATGGATGAACAAGTGCCGTTTGGCTTGAGCGTCGCGGGGTGTGGAGCTGAGTGCTGCATGCATGCGCGCTATATGGTACGCGGCGGTGGGTACGGCTGAGGCTCAACCGCGCATAAGACGCATGACACCCATGGCGCTGATGCGTGATGCTTCTTGATTCGATGGGAAAGATGCCTCATGCCTTGCTCACAGTGCAGCACGCGCCGTCGTCCAGCATTTAACTCGCCACTACAACAGGTTAATTCCTTCCTCCCTCCTCTGCCTGCCCTTTTCAACTAGGCCTCCTATTCCCTCAGACTCCTCCGCCCGCTTATCCAAGCTCCTCTAAGCGCCCTTCTCTTTCAGTGGCAACCCATCTAACCTCTTACGCATCATGTCTTCCAGCAAGTCAAGCGGAGCGAGCGACCACACCGTCGTCACGGAAGGCGTCATCTCACCTGCAACATGGAACTTGGTGGAGAGCAAGTTCTCGGACTTTGCCAAGGAGACGCTCACCAAACTCATTCGCTTTGTGCACGTGAGCATGCTCGCGTTTGCCGAGGACAAGATGAACGAACGCCCGAGACTGACTCGTTCCTCATCCATGCAATGCTCTGATAGGACGAATGCATGCCAGCTGAAGAACTCTACCATGCTCAAGTCGGGATCGGCGCGGATCGCTGGACCACCATTCCTCCCATCATCGAGGAGCTCAAGACCAGAGCCAAGGCGCTAGGCCTGTGGAACCTGTTCCTAAGCAAGGCTCACTATCCCAAGCATGGCGTGCCCCTCACCAATCTGGAGTATGGCATCATGGCAGAGGTGATGGGAAGGGCTGGCCACTTTGCTAGCGAGGCCACCAACTGCGCTGCGCCCGATACTGGCAACATGGGTGAGTGAATGCTGGGTCTGGCTCACGTCTCGGTTGCAGACCTGGTCGCCACTGCAGCATCACTGACCTCAATGTCTTGCATGGCTGTGTCATTGGTGCAGAGGTTCTGGCCAAGTACGGCAACGAAGAGCAACAGAAGACTTGGCTTTTGCCACTCTTGAACGGCGAGATTCGTAGCGCTTTCGCCATGACGGAGCGTTACGTCGCCTCTTCCGACGCCACGAACATTCGCACAGACATCAGACAAGAGGGCAACGACATTGTCATCAATGGGCACAAGTGGTGGATC